AACTGGGTAGTAGACCTGGTAAGATTGATTCCTAGAATATGCTTCATCATATGCTTTAGGATGAATTTATAGCTACCATTGATACCAAAGAATGAAGTGTGCCTTGGATACTTCAGTTCATCTATATAAATGTTTTGATTGATTGGGAGCCAGCACAATGGCATGCAAGTTGTCCCTTTCCGGTGCATACCAACAAAGGATTATTGTTTAAAACTAGGGATGTGCCCATGGTAATATCTTGACTGGCACAGTATGGTATTGAGGTTGTGCTGGCCAGCATAGTAGAAGTCGCCAAGTCTCTGTATTGGCATGAGTTGCTAGATTGAAGACCGACTCCCATTAAAATGGCACGTAATAGGCATGATCGTCACATGGCCATTACATACAATCCTCACATTTTTATTTTTGTCGATTGCATTGGTCTACTATGTCTGCGTAGGCTCTTACCTTGCGCTTGCTTTGGGGACCCTGGGCCTGGAGTTAGCAGCAGCCATGGGAGGAATAATTGAGATTATCAGCTTTATCTGCAGCCATGTGAAGAGATGAGGTGAGATATGGTTGACAATCCTGCCAATGGAGGAGAAAAGGAGAAAGCACAAAGAAGGGAAAGCATGAGCAGTGGCCATGTCGAAATGTTTGGTGAACTTTTTGAGGCAGGTGCCAAGGGAGACAGTGGCACAGTGGAGCAGCAACTAGGAGGCATAGTAAAATGGTTCTTGTGAAGGTGTCTCAGTCATCCTCGATAACCAGGGTTGTCATTGTTGGATCGAGTGGCAAAAAGGTTAAACTCGTTGGTGAGGGTGTCCTGCACAAGTTGCTTGAGCATTCCTAGTGCTTGATCTCGGGGTTCAAGAGGGCGGCCTTGCCATGGTGGCTCAGATCTTATGCTTCTAACATCCATTTGGCCCTCTGGCTCCTCCCCACAATGAGGCTTGAATTTGGGTCACCTCTGAGCACATAACCTGGTGAGACAGACACCGGCATGTAGGTGGAAATCACTAATGCCTGGGAAGAGGAAGAACAATGTAGTCATTGCTGACAACTTTTGTCTTAAACATGATAATCAACAACAGTTGTTGTAAGACAAATGAGAAATGGAAAAGAAAACATGTTAAGACACATCATCAGTGGAGAAAGTGTTGCAACTCCCTACCTTAGCTTATATAGCTAAAATTATACTGCTTGACTTCCTTCTTTTCTGGATATTTATTTCTTTTTAAGTCGTCCATAAGGTAATCTTTTAGCAAGTATTAGGTGGCTGCAAAGTGAAAATGCAAAGGGTAGCAAGACCCTGATTCTTGCCCAAGTGCCAGCAACAGCTGATATCAAAAATTTTACATGGAAGATCAGCTTGAAAGATTTACATTATTGATATGTTTCGAAAGTTGCAACATGAAATGAAGTACTGCATGCCTTTGCTAGTCATTGTAGAAGGTTCAAGCTTAACCTCTATAGTGAAATAATGAATAAATGGAAGACAGGAATATGATGGAAGTCAGCATAATAACTTGGATCAAAAGCGTTTGTTGCTTTTATGAAGACATGCATCTGAGCAAGAAACTGTCTAGAGATTTATTAACAGTCACAGTTTACTATTAAATGTTGGTGAAGGACTATAGGTGCACACACAGATTTGTTAAGCGATTTGCTCAGTCAGTAAAACCACTGTTTGGGAATGATACTCTGGTTTGCGGAAAAAATTTGATGAGTGAAATAGGTGAGATTCAAGAATAAGTGCAAGACAGGCACAAAGGTCAGCTATCAAAGAGAAGAATTTCCTGTGGAAAAGATAGTTAAAATATTAAAATACAGTGTGCCAAAGGAAAAATGAATAGTTAACAATTGAAGTAATATCATCCAAATGGCCCCAAATGCACCTCAATTTGAGACCCCTATTTGGGCACAAGGAAGCATCAATTTAACAGGGTAAAACTTGGAACCTGCTGTGTCTCATTGCATCACTAGGTGTACTTGTTAAACAAGAATTAAGATGTCAATTTCCTGTCACCAAAGATATGCATACTTCACAAGTGGATGGCTATGCTACACTGTTGTGTACACCTATATCATCAGTAATCAATGATTTAGTTTGTGGTGTTATAATTGACCCATCTCGAAAGACTTATAGCATGTCATTATTGCTTTGTATTATAAATGTCAATAGCATGCTACAATTTGCATGTGCCATCCAATGCTGAGCAAGAATGATGTGCAATACTTTGTTGCATTTGAACAGTTGCAGCTTTGTTCTTGTCATATCAGGCATACAGTGTATAAGCTTAACCAGGGTGCACCTATTGTCTGCATGTTCATGTTAAAACCAATTTACTTATACATGTCAATTGAGGTTAATTTCATGAACTCAACCCTTCAATAATAAAGCTGCATGGGTGAAAGATTTACGACTTGAGCTGTTTGTGTGCATGAAATTTTTTGTAATACTTGGCTTGGTTTGGGTTCTAACTTATTAAAATTGATTGTGGCTCCTGAATCAAGTTAGAATTACTTTAATGGAGGCATTAGTTTCTTATGTTTTATTAATATACTTCTGAAAGAATTGTGCCGAAAGGAAAATTCTTGGACAACATGAGGCAATTAACTGATTTTGCTACTGATTCATGGTGTGCATATTTCTTTCTTGATGATGGAACTATCGAACACCTTGCTTTATTATCTGCATATTCTGAAGTGAAGACTTTATTCTTACACATTTTAGGACCTAGGCTCTCCAGGTTTGTTGGTTTGAATGTGACAGTTTCCTGAGTTTGATGATTCCCTGATTTTGACGATATGACCATGTTGATAGTGAAGTCACTGCTGTAATTTAGTCTAGTATCATGTATTGCCAATTGTGCCTGCATTTTAAGCTAGGACCGTTTTATGAATGTTGTGTTTGATGATTTGATCTAATTCATTTTTCTTTCACTTAAATTGGTTTTCGACTTTTTGTTTGAAAATTTGCAGATTGCTCAATATCAGACCGAAAATACTAGCAGCATGAGGCAACGACTTGGTTTGGCCACCACCACAAATGAAATTGTTGCTGGCACGACACTACCTGTCGGAAACTTTGCATCAAAAGCGACATCTGCTACAGAACCCAAAATTTCTCCAATATCCATCACTCAACTGGCACCGGCCCAACCTGTAACATCAATTGCCAGAAGCTTAAGCAGTGTCGAAGACGATCACAAGAAGGCAGCAGCTGCCGTTGCAGCAAAGCTTGCTGCATCATCATCCTCAGCACAGGTTCTTACCTCTATTCTATCCTCTTTAGCTGCAGAAGAAGCTGCTTCCATGAGCAATGGTCTCAGTTCCCGAGTCGTCTCCAATAGCCCAAATTTCCCTTTGGAGAAAAGGCCCAGGCTTGAGAACCTAATGTCCATGGCTGATATGGACAAAACTTCTTACTTCAGTCAGGTGCAGCAGCCACAACAACAACAGCAGACAGTTCCTCTTGTGCTTCCACAAACCTCAGCTGCAAGTATGCAACAATTCTCCCAGAGTAATCTGGCACCACCTAATATTACACCACCACCTCCGCCTCTCCCACCACTGCCTCCACCACCGATGCAGCAGTATGCGCATGGAAGTGGAGCAACAATAAGTGTAACACCTTATGGGTTCATTGGTGGTTCACTGGCCCCTCCGCCACCTCTACCTTCCAACCCATCTCTGGGGTTGACACGACCTGGTATTCCACCACCACTTCCACCACCACCACCACCACCACATCAGCATCAGCAGCCAATCACAGTGGGGTTTTACCAGTCTCCAGGAATTGGGTTCTATGGGCAAGCACAGACTGCTCCCACTGTCCAGCGACAGTAAAAATCATGTTCTGAGGGTTCTACATGACCCAGAGTTTTTATGTACATTATTAGCAGCTTCAATTAATGCAGATTGATGGAATAGGTCAGAGTGATCTAGGAAAAGCTAGATTTGGAGCACTGATCTTGGAAGATTCAATGAACAAAGTCATCGGTGATGGACACATCAAAGTCCGGTTAGTGAAAATGTTTGAATCTGTTGTAATCCCCTACAAGAATTTTTTGTTTCCTTTTCCAATGGATGATGAACCCACCTCTGTGGGTCCTGTTAACCTTTTATTTCTCTTTTTTTTTTCCCTTCATTTTCTTCCTTGTTAGTTTTCTTCACTGTTATCTTCATGATCGGAAAAGCTGCCAGTCTACAAGTGCAAAGGTCCAGCATCCTTGAACAAGGACCAGTAGAATAAAGTAGTTTCTGTATCTATAGGATACATAGGAACCGAAGCTGCTGTGCTGACATTACTGTGTTTATGCATATTGGTGCCATGTTGGTGATTGTTTTATACTGACTTCAGTTGTTGTCATGTTCGTATGTCATACTCTGATAGTCACCATAAATTACGACAGCTTTGGTATCTAGTTCGGACAGTCATTATATATTTGTGCTTGTTGGTATATATTTTGGATTATAGAGGAAATGAATGTGTTTATTTCAGTTGTTATCATTCAAACTTGGTAGGGGCTGTAATTAAGCTACAATTCTTGGTTCAGATCAGCCAAGTATTTGAGTTGGACTATATGTTATCATTCAAACTTGGTAGGGGTTGTAATTAGTTGGGTCCTATGGGTAAGCCAAGGGAAAAAGGGGGAGAGAACTATTTGAGTTGGAGCACATTTATTAGATTTTATATCACATTATATATACCATTAAAGACATTTATTAAAAAAAGGGTAATTAGATCTCTTAATAACCAAATAATCACCACTAGGATGCCAACAGTAATCTAATGGCTGCCAAGCTTGAGGTAGAGATGATAAAACAAGAGAGGCATGTGGACAAGAAGGAATCCAACACTTTGCCATCTGCCTTCCTACATCTAATATTTGCCTATGACTGCGTCAATTTTGACCATTTTGTAGCACACCCATAACAAAATATATTCTTCAATATCCTGCTGCGCAACCAAATCTATTTTGGATCTCCACCACCATTCTTCATTGGTTACGTATTCATAACCCCAGCAACCGCCGCAACCCCCTCACTTGTGCTCCTTTTGTGTTTGTAGATATCCCTTTCGCCTCTCTCCCTGTCTCTCTCTCTCTCTCTCTCTTTCGCTCTCGCGCGCGCGCACACGCCCAAATCGCCATGGCCGCCCCACTCCGCTACGCCCTGCTCCATAACCCCGCAACAGACCTATCCGGGAAACACCATGGCTACATCCTCCGCGTCATCCCCTCCTCCTACCGCGCCACCGCCGCGGCGAAATCCACTACTTTATGCTCCCTCCTCCGTCTCAAACGCACAAACCCTAACCTCCCTCGCTCCCTCTCCTCCTCCGATCTTCCCTCCCCTGGTGGCGGCGCTGGCGACGGCATTCACTTCAGCGGCGGCGGCGGCGGCGGTGGCGGTGGATGGGGCTCCGATGGGACTCCCGGCGACCATCACCACGGCGAGGAGCCCTCTGGTGGTTCCGGGCCCCTTGGCGTCTTCCTCGAGGGTTGGCGAGCTAGGGTCTCAGCCGACCCGCAGTTCCCCTTCAAGGTCCTCATGGAGGAGCTCGTTGGCGTGAGCGCCTGCGTCCTCGGCGACATGGCCTCCCGCCCCAACTTTGGCCTCAACGAGCTCGACTTCGTCTTCTCTACCCTCGTCGTTGGATCCATCCTCAACTTCGTCCTCATGTACCTCCTCGCCCCCACTTCTGCCTCGGCCTCCGCTTCCTCTGCCCTCCCTGGAATATTCGCGTCCTGTCCCACCGGCCATATGTTTGAGCCCGGCTCCTACTCGCTCTTCTCCCGGCTTGGCACCCTGGTCTACAAAGGCGTCACCTTCGCCACTGTAGGGTTTGCTGCAGGGCTTGTGGGGACGGCCATCTCAAATGGATTGATTGCTTTGAGGAAGAGGATGGATCCGGAGTTTGAAGTTCCCAACAAGCCCCCTCCCACGATGCTCAATGCCTGTACCTGGGCCTTGCACATGGGTTTGAGCAGCAACTTGCGTTACCAAACGTTGAATGGCATGGAGTTCGTGATGGAGAACGTGTTGCCTCCGGCTGGTTTTAAGTCGTCCGTGTTGGTTTTGAGGTGCTTGAACAATGTGTTGGGTGGGATGTCATTTGTGATGCTCGCAAGGCTGACCGGCGCACAGAAGGTAGAGGCGGATAAGGGAGAAGAGAAGAAGAGATCGATTGATAGTGGTGTTCTAGCGGTTGCAGAGGTTGGAAGCACAAATTCGCAGAGTGCATCAAGTAAGTGATTCTTGGCTTATTGCTGACGGTCTTCTTTTCCTTTTGTTTGCAAAGGAGGGGGAAACATCGAATTGCTCAGAGAAAATCTAGAAAGAGAGATCAGGGAAAGTGTTTTCACTAAGCCAAGTTGTTTGTACTGTAGGAATGCTTAAGATTGGTGTGACTTATTTCAATGAATAATGAATAATGAGGTGAATTTGGTAGAATAATTCAGAACAAAAACATCTCATGATGCTATCAATTATGTGCAAATGGTTCAATAATGTAAAAGGTTTTGCTGAACTACTCCATTAATTGCAGGATCGATAACTATCATGACATTGTTGAATATATAATGGATTATTTGTTAGCATGTATAGAAATTAAGTTGCCATCATACGTAAATGTTTCTTTTTTCATGTTCGAGTTGGCCATCGGACTTGATTTCTCCTATAGATCGGACAGCAAATAGTTTGACATTATTAGTAATAGCTCTTGTATTCTCCTTTAGGTTTTGGGAGACCTTGATTTCTATTTTTTCCCCAAGGCATTTTAGACTACCAAGAACTTGGATTTCTATTTCATCAAGCTGCTCCTCACCGTCCTATTCTGGCTTCGTTACATAATCCGTGTCTCCTTAAGAGTCTGTCTTTTTTTGTCGCTTTTATGAGTTTATTCTATAATTTTCGTTTTGATTTTTACATTTGACAAGTATAGTGTCTGAAAAATGTATATGTTATTTTTGTCTGATCTACTTATTAAAATTAGCTTACGGAGTTTTTCACCCCTTAATTTGTTCCATAGCTGATGTTATATTGATGCTCTTTCTGATGTCAAACCACAAACTGAAGTGAAATAGCCTATTCTTTCATGAGATCTCACAAGTTTAACATATCTTTTAAGGGGATTGAATTTTTCATTAAGTCAGCTTGGGGAAGAATTTTGGTGTCTTTGCTTGATATCTCACTGATGTTCAAGGAGAGATGTAGTCATGGCTTTTGATTCTGGTTGGTTTGATGTAATTGATTAGCTGAGCTTTGCTCGAGCATGAGAATGTTGAGATTCTGAATCAGGTAAAACATGTCAATTCTCTATATAAGCCGAATACAGGCATGATATTGTTTGATCATGTTTGATCGTGAATGACTTGATAAAGGCATGGCTTATAAGTTTTATAGTACAAGTAATATAATATATTCTAAACAATATGAACCATTAGATTTGAAGGGAAATAGCTATTTGAGGCCACATAAAAGGCATTCTTTTTATCTGATTGATTTAATCTAATGATCATTGATCACCCAAGGCCCTCATAAAATGCTTAAGTTAGAGTAAAACCCTAACCAACCATTTATATTTTGTTCTCTTTCTTATTCTTTCTATGATCTTTGCTGATTTGAGCAGTAGTTTGCTAACAGTCAGGGAATTGCATGACTCCATCCCTACACTGCCTTCACCAAGATTGAGCACCGCACCCCATCATCATTATCACACACCACACACCATCTTCATAGAGCTCCCATTTCTTGCACCCCTTCTTGGCAGTTCAATTCTTTGTTCCATGTGTCACTCCGCTCTATATGAATATATGCTCGAAATTATGGATCTTTTACTGTTTTGCTAAATCTTGTTGTATGGATTAGATTCCTTCTAATGTTTGGATTTTTTTTGTTTCAATGAATCTTTTTTCCTTTCAATGCCTCGTGATCCTGCCAAACACATACAAGCTGAGTTAGCTTGTTCATTCTCAAGCTATGTACAAACACTGCACTTGCTAACTATACTGAGCTCAAGCTGTGCTGTAACATTCCTCTGTTCATTCAGGCCAAGGAACCAATGTATTCGATTTGTTTACAGTCCTACTTCTCATGCTCGTAGCTTTTATAGAATCTATACTATGATCTCTGTGATGAAATGGAAGGTAGCTTTTTGAATGCCTTGTGAGAATACTTGGATATTAGTTATATCCAGATGGATGGAATTTAGGAGTTTATGTACTTTAGTACATAATGCTGTGTTGTGAGATTTCACCTAAATGCATTAGGTTTAAGCCCATGGTTTGGGGAAATTGAGATGTTTAGGCAAACTATTGGTCATGATAACTAACATTGTGATGTTTAGTCAAACTAATGCATATGATTACCCACAGAATGCTCGTAGCTGTGAGAGGAGATGAATGAGATTAATGAACAGTTATGATTGTATTACAAGATTATCAGGAAGGTAATAGGTTTTGGTTATGTTCTAGTGTTGACAAGGTTTACAGATCAGTATAATACAAATATGAATTGACATATTAGGAGAGGAGAGGAAAGGAGAAGAATAAGAGGAGAGGGAAAAAGATTATTGGTGGAGCTAGAGGAAGAGGAGGCGGAGGGGAAGGTGACGGATGAGGAAGATAAAGAGGGTATTATTATTTGTGAATAACAGGAGACCATTGACGAAGTGATGGCAACGGCGATGATATGGAAGTGAAGCTGGTGACAACGGTGCCAATGCGAAATGAAAAAAAGATTATACATTGCTACAGTCAAAAATAATAAAAATTTGGAGAGTGAAATCATTCAGTTCTTATTCCAGTTGGCTGTTGGACAGGTAAATATCAATGTATGCTGGTCGTTATAGATGGTATATGGAACTTTGTTTGTTGATATGGATATGTGGTCCTCTGTGTCGAGTGTTAAATTGTCTCGTAAAACTTTGGACATGCCTTTCTCGTCGAGAATGCAAGTTTTATTCATGTTGCATAATTAGTTTGATTAAACTACGTACAGTCTGTTAAAGAGAATTGGTAGGGCTTTGTGTTACATGATATTGCATCTTGTGATTAATTTATTGAATTTTCGATTGATATATAATTGAATGGACTTTTGGGGTATTATCTAGGATTGATTCATTGTTATGTTCTATAGCAATATCATGCGAGTACTTCTTCAATGAAGATTTTTGGTAATGATAGACTATTTTGAATGTTTGTAATTTTGTATTATCCATTAAGTGTTTGTTAAAATGTTTACTTATGAAATTTTGAATTAAATATTTTATTCTTATTTGTATATTCTTATTTGATTATAAAGATTTCAGGGAGGGGACAAATATACAAATGTATCACATGACTTAAACAAAATCAATTAAGTCCGATATATATATATATATATATATATATATATATATATATATATATATAATTTAAAGTAGGAATTCAAAGAATGTTTTAGTTTTTCATATAAATTTTTGATTGATAATACTGGGCCAAGATACAACAAGAAATAATTTATTTGTGTGCACAAAGGGTTGAAAATAAAATCACAATCTTACACCAACTGTAGAAAACAAAATAAATAGAATAGTAAAAAAAAGAAAGAACAGAATTATATTTTATTAATTGTATCCTTGCATGCAAACAAAGAGATTTATAAATAGGCAATAAGAGGCTCATCAAGTTTCCCTAAAATGTGGGTACATTAGTAGCCACATTCCTGAAACATTTGAAATCTTACATTCTTAAAGAACAAGTTAAATGAGTCTTAATCGTTGGTCTAAAATATTTAAATCTAAATTAATAATATCATAATCATCACACTATTATAAGTCACTATTATAAGTTTATTTAAATATTTCACATCTTGTGACTAAATTGATTTTGTCACTTTCATTTGTGACTAAATTGAGGTGTTACACTTCTTTTTATTATGTATAATTTAGAATTAGACTTTAGCATAATGCATATGTGGCATTGCTTTATGGTGATTTCAAATTTTGACATGCGAGTAGCTATTTCTTATTCAGCTATATTAGCTCTAATATTGATTGGTATGATTCGACTTGATGATCTACAAGCTAATTTAAATTTTGTTCACCTCTTATGTAGGATTAAATTGGAGAATTAAAAAAATATTAAAATTATAAAATAAAACTGCATGAGTTTTATAAAAGAATATGCTTTAGTTGTTCATTAGTTTTGGAGGAGATTCTCAATAATTATGATGCATCGTACATAGTCAAAAGATCAGATCATGAGTTCTAATGAATGAGATATCTTTTTTAATTTTCTAAATTAAAAATAGTAAAAAATATGCATTCGGAATTATGCCATAAGATTAGTAAGATACAACTAAAACCCCACTCTCAGTTACCAATTCATGAAAGAAACATAAAAAAGGTATTTTTAGAAAATTCACCAGATTTTATTTATATTGATAATTATAATGAGAATATAAAAAGTTACCGAAATATCTCAATAAGGAATAAGCTTATTTAGTAGAAGAGTGATAAATGGTATTATACCACTATTATTCCAATAAAGTCATTTCATCTACTCCTTTAGTTTATTACTATTAAAATATCTAAGATAGTTTTTTAGATATATGTTCACTACTTCAGGTTTTTAGATATCTGTTCACTATTTCAGTCTACCCATCTGTTTACGAATGATAAACAGTACGCATATTCAATTATGTACCCTAGAAGCGAAAGATGCTAGTAAAAACTTTATCTCTATCACTAACAATGAAACATGAAATTCCATGCAACTTTACTATATTCTCAACATAAATGCTAGTAACGCTTATAATAGCATAAGGATATCGTATAGCATAAAAAAGAGCATGTTTTTGTAAAGCAATTCATAACCACAAAGATTATGATTTTTTATTGAGATAGTGGAAGTTCATCGATAAAATCCATAGATATATTAGTCCAAGCATCATTACGAATAGAAAGAGGTTAAAGTAAACCAGAGGCAACAACTGTCTCACCTTTGTGACGCTAGCAAACATCACATTCTACAATAAATTTCTTGATAGTTTTTTTCATACCCTTTCAATAAAAAAATTGATAGATGATTTTCTTGTTGTAGTAGTCATATTTATTTGCACCGTCAATGCTTAAGTAAAATGAGTGATGGTCAACACGAGTAGCTCAGTAGCTCTATCGATATTATTTATTTTGACACCTTCCATAAAAATGAGCATTAGTACGAAGGATATGCTCGCTATCAACTCCCCTCTAATCTAATCATATTCATTAGTAATATTGTCTCCCCTTTTAGTGTGACGAGCCCTCATGCTTGAAGACTATAAGGTTAAAGTTTTTTATGGTCAATATCATCTCGAACTAGCTTTCTGTAGTGGTCTCAATATATCACATGTCCTTAAAGTTCCCCACAAGCCAAGCGATTGAGATGAACTAAAGAATGATATGAGAGATACTACCAATGCTGCCTAGTGTCAATCTCGCTATGGAAGAAGTCGACATAAACATACGA